GAGAGAGAGAGAGAGACAGAGAGAGAGAGAGAGACAGAGAGAGAGAGAGACAGAGAGAGAGAGAGAGACACAGAGAGAGGGAGAGACGAGATTACACTCACACAAAGTTCACAGATTCTTTCTCCAGACCTTGCAAGCTCCGATACAACGGCCACACAGCCGGTGGCAAACCTCTGCTGTCTCAAACACAGTCTGTATGCGTCAAAGCGTCTCAAGTGGGAGATCTGCACGACTTTCACCTCCGTGGACACTTGAGATGAGGCTCACAGAGGATCTGATCAGTGGAAGTGTGGTCTGGGATATTCGCACGATCACAGAGCCAATACTTGTGGGCAGTAAAATCACCTCCAAGCAGTGCGTATCTGTTACTGTTGATCGTGTCCTTCAAGGGTGAGCCACGGCATCAAGTTGACTTGAGCCAACGCGACTGCGGGCGGATGTGAGAAGTGGTCAGCTCCGAGGTCAGAGCATTGTTGCCCGCATGTGATCGAAACGACCGACCGTGGCTCCCGGTGATTCAGGTCAACTCCTCGCTGGTCTTCCGAACTGTGAGGCTAACAAGGCTTGTATCGATGCAATCAGTGTAAGAGGCTTGTCGGTAGTGATAAGGGTTCGCAGGCAATACCGTTCCGCAGGCCAGGTCGATGGAGTCGATCTTGGTTAGAGGCAACCGGTATCGCAGAGGCAACACCGATGGATCATGTGCAGCCATCGAGGGCAACGCAGGTAGGATCCGAGATGTTAGGTACATATAGCCCGAGGGCGCAGTCAGCGCGGGTCCGCAGGTAGAAGTGCCGACGATAGACAGTCGGGGCTGGAGGCATGCAGTCCAGACGCATGCATCATGGACACTCGCGAGGCAAGATGAGTCTTTTTGGGTATCGCGGTACCTCCATAAGAGACACAATGTTGTCTTTTACTTGGAGCTGGGGCGCGGGTGATTTGGTTGTACTCTGGTTGAATCTGGTGTCACCACCTTGTCTCCCCTGGTCTGACAGATCTCTCAAGGTATCGTACAAACCTCCTTGTGTCTTGTTTCTCTTCTGCTTTCTGCTTTCACATTCATCTGCGAGAGCTGCTCACCCTCCACTAAGTCCAAGAGCCGGCCTGTTTTGAGACTCGTCGATCTCAACGATTCAACGAAGCCTGTATACGCAAAGAGCCTCAACGGGCTGTGCACAGGACCGTGCCACGAAGAAACCGATCGAAGCGAGCCAGATCGAGCCAGAGCAAGCCGCCGGCGGACAGAACGCACTCGTTGTCCACTCTACACTACACACTGCTGGCGTGTGGTTTTTTCTCTTTCCTTTCTCTGCTCCTGGTTTTCACTCATCTGTGACTTCGAGGACCCTCTGCATCATCAGAGACAGAACACGCGTGCCTCGGATGGAGGGAGATGCTCAAGGTGCGCACCAAAGCGACGGCAGGAAGACGAGGATCGAAAAAGGGTTGATATAACGGCTGAAGAAATCGATATTCAGGGGGAGGACTCTTGCAAGAGCTTTGGAGGCTGAAGGATTATTGACGCAGCAGAGCGTCGCTACAGGACAAGACAAGGTCCGCCGGCCGGTCGGTGTATATCATCATTCTGAATCCTTCCCCGCGTACGAGTTTGAAGAGGAATACGAATGGTCTCGATCGAGGTTCAATCGGTGGTAGTGTACAACGGGGCGAGGTAAAGGTCTCTCAACGGATACAAAGCACTGAGAACGAACAAAAAAAAGCTCTCCTGAAACGAGTCACTATTCTCGCCTAATTAGGCCAAAGCTACGTTTCTGTACAACATTCTTTCCCGCACGTTTTGACATTTATCACCATGAAGTAAGTCGTCACGTACTCGAAGGACAGTCTTTTCTCGGCAAGACATGTAACGAAGAGTAAGCAGATCGACTCGTGGAGGGGAGCCTCGCTGCTGGAAGGTCGATGATGTCAGTCTCTTACTTCGATAAAAGGTGATGGAGTCCTGAGAGACAGCTAGATATGCCAGTTCACCAGGTTCGACAATCCTAGCCGTGAAGTACCTTCTCACTCTCAGGATGGCCTGGAGAACACCGTCTTTTCCCCACCAGGACGTCGTGTAGTACTGAATGAGACAAGGAACAGCACAGTAGCGTGACCGTACAGAGGACAATGGCATATGTGCATTATTGCATGTACATGGCGAACCCCAACCGATCCTCGTACAGTAGAAGCGAAAGGCAGATCCAAGTAGGTTAGATTGAGATGGCCGTGTGTGGGGTGACTTGGGACCCGTCTGTCTCAGTTGAAGTCCATTGTCCATCGCAGGTGTGACAGGACCGAGGTCGTCCGTTGATGAACAGGTCATAGAGTCCTTGAAAGATGGTTTGCGGAGGTCGGAGGGAGCGTCACGACCTGCGGCCCAACCAAGGTGATGCCCTTACCGGCACTATCATGATCGAGAACGCTCAGATGCTGCTCCGCCTTATCCTTGAAGCTCCGTATCACAGGCTTGTCGGCGGTGACTGTGGCACTGCATCAACCCTGTTAGTTCTTATATAAATAAGATGTGCCACACCATATAGGCCAGAATTAACAATTGTCAATCGTGAAGTGAAGCAGTTCCACTGGAAGCCTCATCAGATTGGTATGCCCATGAAAAGGAGTCCAGACGGCCTCGATCGAACATTGACCGTTTATGGGTTGGAGTCGAGGTCCTTCGTTCGGTGAAAAGGCCATGCATGGAACCATGAAATGATAGCTGGCATATGCCATTCAACTAGATCTGACAAACATCGTCCGTGAAGGTGGGGTAGCCTCCCACTCCGATAATGTTTCTGTGTCTGGGGCCCAGCAAGTCGTAACTTAGAGCAAACAGATCGACCTTGGGAGGCACCACTGTTAAAGGTGGTCGTCAGACTGGTGACCCCGTGTATGATCTGAAGAAGTAAGGAACCTGGCTGTCTCAGTCCACCTTCCCACGAGTCCGCCAGTATCATAGTATTTTGACCCTTCTCTTGTATGGAGTTTGAAGAGGAATACCGACAGTCTCGGTCGAGGTTTGATCGTCGGGGAGAAGAGGTCGAGGTCGTGTTCGATGAAAGGCCACGGGGCTCTGAAATAATAGTTAGAACATGTGCCGAACAGCTGAGTTGACAATCACACTGTAAATCGAAGAAGCTACCCTTTCGTACGGAGAATTGCCTGTCTGAATGCTGCATTTCCCTGCATGATGCAGGAGCGTAGACCAAGCGCAGGAGGGCCACTATCAAAAGGTTGGTCAGATGGTATGACCGTGTATGAATTTGACAAGGAATCCCGGTCGTCTCGGTAAAAATTGCTCGTCGGTAGGATGAGGTCGAGGCCTGAGGTCGATCAGAGCTTGTATTCGACGAGAGGTTGTATTCGATAGGATGTCATGTTCGATTAGAGGCTATAGATACCTGCAAAGACAGTTAGATATGCCGTAATATTCAGCCCCTGATCAGATCTAATAATCTTACCCGTGAAGTGAGATAGTTATACCTGCTTGGTGCATTCTTCTGTGTCTGTATCCAGCTTTTTCCTACGAGATATCGCAGCGTAGAGCAAGTAATTGGAGCCCTTACTGAAGCAGCCGCCGCGAGAAGATATCAGATGAATATGGCCGTGTGTAAGTCGACTCTTAGAGGCAGGCACCCGGCCGTCTCGATCGAGTTCACCGATGATCGTCTGTGTATCGGATTGAGGTCTCCTTTCGAAAAAAGGGTTATGGAGTCCTGCGGCAAAGACAGTTAGCAAGGTGCGCTATCTGAATTGACGATTCTCACTCGTGAAGCAAAGTAGACAAGTGCTCGATGAATTGTCTGCGCATAGATTCCCTCAGCCGCAGTAGTATCGGAGAGCTAGGTCGACCTTCAACGCAGCTGTCTCAGTCGATCTTCTCAGAGAGCTCCTAGTGTTCCATTTCGACCCTTCTCTTATATGGCTTCCAAGAGGAACCCATCTCTCTTGGTCAAAGCCTGGTGCTACGCCTTCTCAAAGCCACTTGGGCCTCGACACTTTTCTGCTGACTGGCTCGTCTTTGTACAGCTTGCGCATTTGGAGCTGCCAGATCTGCTGGGCGCAAGAGTTTCCGAATGATGCTGTTCATGCGGGAGTTAACAGTGCTGCTCGCTCTCCTGATACGACACCTCGTAGGCGTGGAATACCTTTCGTATGTGATCGAATCGTGTTCGTAGCGGTCGGTTCGAGATTCGTCCGTCCAGGCGAGCGTGCGGACGGTCGTGGCGCGGGTAAATGCGATCGAACCCATTATGCCAACAGTGTAGAGTCCGGCGCCAGCCAGGATCGCAGGCGAGAGGAACATTGACGGAGTGAGGATAGCAGCCTAGGTAACGTTAAAAGCTGTCCAAAGGGCATATTTTTGAAAGTAGCCAATATCCACTAATTTGACAAATTAACGATAGAAGAGAACTTACTTATCAGGCTGCGTGTACATTGTGCCGTACATGGTGCCAATACTGGCCGCCAGACCCAGTCCGACCACCAACCACGGGTTCGTGGCCACGTCTTTGGCCTTGAACAAAACGTCGACAGATTGCACAGGCTCATATGCCGGCGAAGGAAATCTAGGAGCAAGGGTCGCGGTAAAAGGTTGGAGGGGCGTAGGTGGTAAAGATTCTTCGCCAGCGCGATGGAAAATTGACTGCCATTCTTGTCCTTCCCGCTGTTGGCCATGCCGAGCACACCTGCACCAGTATGCTTCAAGGACGGGCTGGTCTCATCGGTAAACTTGTCGCCATAGATACTTGAACCACCTCGGCCAGTCCCTATCGGATCGCCCGTTTGGATCATGAAGTTGGGGATTATACGGTGGAAGATGACGTTGTTGCAGTATTCCCATTGAGCCAGTAGAGAAGTTCTTTCATCGTCGGGGTCCATACTCTCGTGCGACCTGTAAAACTGACCTTCTTCACCAGCTTGTCTGTACAAAGCTCCTCGCCCACTTCCGCGACGATGGTCAAGCTAGTGATGATCTGGATCACTCCGGCTAGGATGCCGACCTCCATGACAAGGACGGCCATGGCGCCAGCAGAGAGAGGCGTCTTAGCGATCACCGCTCGGGACCTTTGCACTCACATGAATACCTGTACCCAGTTCTTTTCGTTCGACATGCTCCAGGACGAATGCGAGGTGAAGAAGAGCCTAGACTGCTCTCTCTCTCTCGCTCCCACACATATTCCTCCCTGTCCCCTCTTCCTCCGCCTCGGGTGTTTCATGGTATGACCAATGGACCCGGCCGCGAATATCCAGGTCGTATTCCGGTAGATAGGTCGGGCGTTCAGTCAGTCGATGGGTGATAGGTAGTCTTCGAGCCTGCGAGCAAGCTAGCTAGCTAGGAAATCGCTTGCTTCTCGATCTTTTCAGCGGAAGATAGCATTAAACGTTGCTTCTCTTTTCACCCACGTATGTGTCCTTCTCGATTCCTCCACAATACCAGACTTGACAATCTCACTATGATGCGATAATCCACGGTCTCGGGCCATGTGGAAGAGGTCAAAGTCCTCAAATAGAACGTGTAGAGCGGCGGCATCCTCGATCGCGTTGATGGCCCCGAAGCCGCAGTATGGAGGCAGTAGGAGGCGTTGCTGATCAGGACGAGCTCGACCGCACTACGTCCTCCGAGACTGGTCTTCAGAGAGTGGACTGAGAGGTTGAGGATCGAGAGGCCGGCTCGGCAAAGAGTCGTGGGCGGCATAGATGGGAGCAGGAGGAAGGTTTCGGCGATCATAAGACGTCTACGGTGTTCTTTCTTCGGTCCATGCAGGCCACGCAAGACAGCGAGTCCCTGCTGACGCAGCGGTTGACGACGCTTTGCTTGACGGCATCACGGGCTCCTGAACAATCACGGCGAGACCCCTGGAGCGACACGCAGGTGGTCAGGGCTACCGCGTTTGCTGCTGCTCCACGGCGCACATGTACATGCCAAAGTTCCACAGCGTGTTGTCCTGACACGGGTATCACTCGAAGGATTGTGTGCATGAGCACAGCCTTTCCCCAGCAAGACGGAACAGCGTTGGTGCGCCCGTGTATGAGTTTGAAGAGGAACCTGAACCGTCTCTGATCGAAGTTGATCGCCTTGGTCGGAATGGATCATCGATCGAGCGTGTGACGGACGGAGGTCGAGGCCTTCTTTCTACGGAAGACAGTCGGCATGCACCATTCGACAGCATGCGCCTTTCAACCCATATCCGATGAATCTCGCAGTCAAATAGTTATACCCGTTGGGAAGACCATCTGTATGAACAAAGCCTCTTCCCGGCAAGATATAGTAGCGTAGAGTATGCAGATCGATATTGGCCTCGGCGGTGAAGACTGATGCCGGAAGGATGTATGGATTTTGAAGAGGATTTGCTCTGTCTCGATATGAAGTTTGATCGTCGGCGACAGGGTGGGAGTGTTGCTTCGACGAAAGGTCATACATGCATGGAGCTCTGTAATGCCAGTTAGCATGTGCTAATTCCACCAGATCTCACGCGTGCAGGGAAGCAGTCACCTACTCGAAAGGATTGTATGTATGTGAACAAACACAACTATTTCCCGGTAAGACGTTGTAGTGTATAGTAAAGAGATCGACATGGATCGTGGCGGGAAGAAGCGCGCCAGAACTGGTCGACAGGTGATATACAGGTATCAATGGGGGATGCCATCGTACGGGCAGAAGGAAATGCACCGCGTCTGGTGCGGCGGAGGATCATCACAGGCAAAGGAAGCTGTTTGGGAGCTACGGGGATGGATTGCCGCGTGGTGGTACGATGAAGCGAGGTAAAAGGAAATCTTCTAAGCTTTGAGTCTGTAGAGAGAAGAAAATGGATTGGAGCAACAGATTTTTAAAAAGGTGAATGTAAAGTCGTGGTGGGTCGAATGACGTCCATTGAGAGTTTGAGGACAAAGAAAGGGGTTCCCTGTAACAGACAAAATCTATGATCCAATTACTTTTCAGGGTCGAGTAGTGGTCGGGTCGGCGGTTCGGTGGTTCGGTGGTTCGGTGGTTCGGCGGGTCGGCTCGAAATCAGGACTGACCTCCAATATTTCTCCAATGTGACTTGTGATGCCAGGATCCTCAACCTCGCGAGCTCTTGGGGTGTTGAGATTCAACGCCCTATCAGCAAGCAAAGTGGCACCCTCGGCATAAACCATTCACAGCGTGACTGACTGCTTGTGTTCGTTGCCGTTATCAGCTGGTGTTCCGAGGCCCCCTGACGAATTGCCTGGCCTGATGAGCCGTTGCCACCAAAGACTGTCAAAGTCACAGAACCCGAGGAAGAACCGGTTGCTGGCTGTAAGGCCGGGAATCGCAGAGACGTTGTGGGTGACTGGACAGCAGCAAGACATGACCATCGATCAACCAGGCCGAAGTTGCTGGTGTGTGTGTGCACCATCGAAGTAGAGATGCGTTTATGCTTCATGGCGCGTCGCCCGACCACATGAGACATGGTCAGTCCATCACAGCAAATCAAGTTTTGTCTCCGGTTCGGTCGATGAGAAAATAGATGCCACAAAGCATTTGCAAGTGGTCAGAACTGGCCTCAAAGGATTCTTGTCGAGTGATTTTACCTTTTGAATATGTTTCTACTATAGTTCTCATCTGGATCGGCATGGTGCATCTCTAATTGAGATACCGAGGGATTCTGGCCAGGATGAGTATAAATTCGACAACGAAAAGACGTGGGAATAACAAAGTCCACCACTCTCTCGATGAGTTTTGAGCACAGTTTGTGCAATAGAGCCCCATCATGGTGTAGTTCGCGCGAGATGTCTTGCTTAGTCGCATCTTGCCAAATCCCATAGATACCAGTCCACACGTCCACTAGCGGCAAGAGGGGACGCACACAGGACCCGGTCGCTGCTTGCAGTCACGAGTGTATCGCTGATGAGTTCTGAACGTATTGAGGAGCGCTACAAGAAAACGTGGAGTATTGAGACTAGAGCGTAGTTTAAGGGTCTAGTTCTCGCGTCGACAAGGAGGCATTTTGAGATTTAGGTAGGTAGTAGAATAGCAGTCACAGTAGGTGTAAACCAAGAGTTTAAAGGCGGAACTGAATTCTAAAGGTGACCTTGGAACGCGTCACCCAGATCGCCTAATCGGGTCGAGTCTAGGAGAAGATCACGTTGCTGAATGCACACAGCTTTTCCCTCCCACTGTACATCAGGGTCGATGCACCCACCCCGTTGACGCCGAGCCTGGAACAGCTCCTCAGCGAGCCACGGCACCGTGATCTGATCACCTGGTAGTGTGGAGAGAAGAGACGGAATAGACGTCGCAGAATCAGGTACAATGTCGCTAGGTATTGCTCTGATAGCCTGCCTGCCGTTTGCTCGATGGCCTAGCTTCGTTTGGGAAATTATGCGTCGAATTCCTACAACATGTTCCCTCGATGATGCCAGAAGAACGACGAACAAGTCCAATGAAGTGGGAACTCGTTGGCAGGTGTCACTCACTCCATACTGTGTTCTCTGGGTTTGTCATCTTCTCTGAGAGATTGATGCCGTAGCTCGTACATGATCAGCAATGCCATCCACTATGCAACCAGTCTTCAAACCTATATTGCTGCTCAGCCTGGACGGACAATAGGAATTCCCCCTTGTCCTCCGTAAGTGTCTCGACTGTGATATGATCAATATGTATTTGGCTTTGGCGACTGGTCAATACAATCCCCACCGTCATTGGGAGCAGGAGCACGAGGACTAATGGCGCCACGGGACAGGCGATGGATGTGATTCAAGATCAAGGAGAGCAGCTGTTTGGAGGTGCTTGCAGACGTCGTCAGGAGTATGACTCTCTTCAATACCGCCGGGCTATATATGAGAGAGCACAGCCAGGGATAGCATCAGGACGAACTCGTTCAGATCCCAGCTGATCTCTAGGACGTGTGGTATCTGCTTCGCGCAGCGCCGTCGCAGTCTGTTCCAACACGTAGTAGCTGCACCAAATCGCTAGTTCTCGACTCACCTTTGTGTGTTTGCTCGTCTGTTCTTCCAACAGTGCCAGCATCGCCTAATTTTGGATCTGCGGGTTGATCAGCCTTGGGGCGGTTGAAACGGTTCTAGAAGAGGCCGAGTCTTACCTCCAAGCGACGTGTAGCTCTCAGAGGACGGAAGAATGAATCGAGTCGCTCATGTGCATGCGTAGCGCAAAGGATATGTCTAACCAATTGCGTAACGAGGGCCTAGACCATAGGCCATGACGAACACTGAGCGTGTTAAACAGCCAAATTGTGGAATTGGAATTGTTGTCTGGATTGTCTCTGTAACTTGTCTCTGCAACTTGTCTCTGCGTGAGTTCTCGCGAGGTGGTCAAATGCCTCAACCTCGACGCCCATTGAAATACTCCCGGCAAAAAGGTTCAGCACGTCTCTCTAAACCTCTATCTTCCGTGTAACTCGGGACAGAATCGTCAAGGGCTTCCTGCTTTTGCCTTTTGTATCTTCCTCGGCGGACGACTCTTTCTGTTTCTCTGACGTCTTGCGCCTCGTAGATGCCTCCCTGGGCTCTTTGCTTTGCTTTGGTAGGAGAGAGAGAGAGGAAAGTCCGCAGGATGTGTTGACCTGGGGATTTGGAGAGAGACGGTGGAACGCTACCGTCGAGATGGCAGACACCACGACATCCGTGACCCCACAGCTCCAGTCACCATGACAGTCGATCACAAAGCGCTGATTGAGACACACCAGGGGGTGGTGTTCACCGGATTGCACCCATTGCCACATCGTCGCAATGGAAATGAACAAGCCGGACCTATAACACCACGACACCCCCCAAAGAGCATCAACGGGGAGAAGCCATCTCGTCTCGTCTTCAGCTTGTGAGCAACCAATCTCCACGACCGCGGCGCACATGGACATGTGTTTCTCCGAAGAAGTGCGAGTAAGACCGTTGGAGAT